TTCTACTATACAAAAAAGTACGATATTTATATATGTATTTTGATTTGGACTTTTATCAGGCTGAAAAAAGAAATAAAAAATAGAAATTCGAACACCACATCGCAAAAAGTTGAGTAATCAGGATATAACCAGTAGAAGTGATAAACATTTTCCTAATGAAATGGAAATGAATTCTTTTACATTAAGCGGAAGTCAAAACTTTGCTTTATACCCAATTCGTAGCTCATCAGGGAATAATCATAAAATAAATAAAATAATTTTCAAATTTCTAATTGCATCAATTTGCCTGCTAAAAAAGTTAGAAAATCAAGCTAATAAAGATATTTAAAAATGATTGAACGCTCAGCGGTATCACTAACAAAAGGCGGTACAAAATTATTTCGGATATTTTTTTTAGTCTAGCCTTTTCTCAAGAATAAAACTTTTGAAAAATGAATAAAGAGAGATCAGCTAGACCAGTGCAGAGGATCAGACTTTGGAAGATATCCAATAATTTGAAAGGGAAACTTGTAGTTTCGAAGCAGACAGTATTATGACTAGAATAGCCGCCAGACTGTCTGAAGGAAACTATTTCAATTTTCTTAGTCTCTCGTGAAAAATATATATATCAGTTACGCTATATATCAGATTTGAAATTCACAAAAATAATACCCAGAAGAAGTCAAAATTTCTTGCATGTAAATTTATTGCAACATGTGTTTAGGGTTATTGATGTATAGATGCTAAAAATACCGGATATATAGTTATATATAGGAGGAAGGAAGGTGGATCTATATATTTTACGCACATACGCATGCTTATTGTTAGAAATATTTTAATATTACTTACAATAAATATATTCCCTACTTTTAACTATAAGTAATTAATACTATTATTTTAAACATATAAATTAATATTGTATAATCAGGTGAATTGTTATGTATTAGTTAAATTTTTATATAAATATTTAAACTAGAAAATGGGATGAACTCATGGGATTATTAACTAGTTCCCCTCTCCATATAATTAAAAAAAATAAGTGCATTCAAAATTTAAAAATCTTTTATGGATAGGTTAATTACAGATAAACTCTTAGCTTGAAGTATAATATTTATGTATCATGTTGTTATTTTACTTTCATTAAAATTTTATATTCAAGCAAATACAATGTCTATTCAATATCCTTCTTTTCATTTATAGTGAGATTTACATTTTAATTTTTAAAAAAGTTTTTCTTTTTGCCAGTTGATCACAATATTTTGAGAGCCTATTAAGTTTTCGATGTTCATATTTATTTTTTAAAAAAATTATAAAATATCGTACACATTTTTGAACTTATGAGAGCTCTAGGCGAAATACATTAATATCCAAAAAGTTCTATTACATTTATGCGTCTGTTAAGTAAAATGGTTAATTTAAGGAAGTATTTTAACTAAAAAAAGGTAACCAAATTTAGAATAGAAATTTTTTTTCAAAGCTTTATTTAATTAAACAAATTTTAAACTGAAAAGAAAGCATTAAACGAATACTTAACAACTTAAATTAATACAAAACTTTTCTTTGGTGTATAGCTCATATAATTCAATTCAGACGAATAATTATTTATTGAAGAAGGTTTGATTAAAAATTAGTGTTTTGTTTAAAATTATGACAATTACAGTAACTCGGAAGAAAATTATAAAAAATGCATGTAAAGACGGAGTAGCCAAACTTTCATCAAAAGTGAATAAATACCCAGCTTTATTGTATACTAAGAAGTATAAGAAATAAAAGTACGAATTTAATATTAAGGATTAACGATTTTTCTCATAATTAAAGCATTTAGAGATAAAATTAAATTATCCAAAGAAAGATTCTTACGAAGTGAATATTAAAAAGGAACAACGTTTTCGCTGAGTAATTTTCATACACTAATAACTATGTAATTTAAAAGGCAAATTAAAACTAATTATTATCCAACCGTAACATTTTTATAATTTTATAAACTAGTTTGCTTAATGTACTTTTCGAAATAAGCATTAACTATTAGAATATATTGTTATTATATAATATGCTTAACATTACTCGATAGTAATTCTAATATAGTATATATAGCTAGATGCGATTTGACATTAATTTGATAATTAAACTAGCTCGGTATTTCCTACACTGATGCTTTCTAAGGTCAAAGCCACTACTTGATATTCCCTATACTGATGTTTTTAAAGGTCAAGTGCCACTGCTGATTTTTTTTATAAGAAACAAAGAAATTATATTTAAATTTAATTTTAAATTAAGATGGATATAACTTGTCAATTGTTTATTTATTACAAACTTATACAGTAAATTAAAAAAAAGTTCATTAAAATTAGAAGATAAAATTGGTTTCAAAAAGCTAGAGAAAAAAAGGCCTGCCCATTGAAATTGATAAGTTATCGAAGGAGAAAGTTATTCTTTGTAAAGCGTTCTTTTCTACTTGAAGAATCTTGGGACGAAAGTAATTTCAAAAACTTGAGTACGAAGTAATTATCTCATCATTATTTTGTTGTAATATTCTCATATGAAAAATTAATGATCCTCTATCTTCATTATATCGTACTTGTTTTCTGAATAATTTCCCAACACAGTTTAGAAATTAATACTTAGAGCTAAAATGCTTTGAGTTTCTTTTTTTAATTTTATTATCTAAATATATATAAAAAAAAAGCGTTCTGCTCATTTTTCCTCAATCAATTTTTTTATTTGAAAAGATTTGAGGTAAGAAAGATGGATAAACATTGTTGTTATTTTTTTTTGCGTTGAGATTGTTCTATAAAGTTAAAAAAAAATCAGCCCGAAAAAATTACGTTCCGAAAGCTTCTTGATTTAAATTAGTATATTTAAATAAACAATGAAATGATGATTCTTTTTTATGAGATAACTTTAATGAAGGGAGGAGCTTAGAAAAATGTTTCTTAAGTTATTTTTTAATTATCAAAGCATACTACATCAGGATAAAAAGTATGGTCAAGACTACTAGAATATGATAAGATGTACTGCTTTGCTTTTCTATGGGAACACCAAAAAGCACGATAATTCTTTCCGAAGTGCTTTGATAATGATTAATGATAAAATTAACAATAAAAACTTGTTTTATTACCATACTGTTAGATAATAAATGTGATAAAATTTGCTAATTCTATCACCATATCTTAGATTTAATCATTTATTCGGTTAAATTTACTCTTTAATTAGATATGTATTTTACTAAATGTTTGGTAATAAGAACTATAATCTTGAAAACCAGAATTTCAGGTAGATCATAACCATACCAACAGAAAAATTTCCAAATGAATGGTTTAAGTAACATATATTTTGGTTTTATTACCAAATATAAACAGAAAAAGCACTTGTTAGTTAATAAGAAAACCATTATATTGCAAACTAAATACGTTATAAGCAAAACTCTTATGGTTGGAACGTAATAAGTTTTATAATGATAAGAATTTTCTATAATAATATATGGCTTAATTATAAGCTTTCAGCTATAATAATATAAGGCGTAGTAATCAGTTTTTAGCTATAATAATATAGGACATAATGAATAGTTTTAGCTGAGTTTTTTTTATAAGTACTATAAAATGTATAAATAAATGCATGAAAGCCGTTACATACGTTACGAAAGCCGTTACGTGGTGGCTCAGGGGATAGAGCGTTCTCCTCCCAACGAAGTGAGCGGGATTCGAATCCCAGTGACGTCTGGTCGATTCAAATTCCGCACCCGGCTCGTACCAACCGCATTGCCGACGTAAAAATATCCTCAGTGGTAGATGGATCATAGGTTAGAGTCCCCCTGCCATCAGGCTAACTGTGGTAGGTTTTCGTTAGTTTCCTCCCTATGTAATGAAAATGCGGGCTAGTTTCATCAAAAATGCCCTCCACGTAGGCAAAATTTCTGATGGATTTCGAAAAATTATGTTCTTACTGGCAATAGCAAAATAATAAATTAATCAGAAAAAAAAAATTATCACTGAAAAATCGGGCATCTATTTTAGTGTGAAAATTTACGATAAAATTTTACTTGATTTTCTTCAAAACTTGAACATTTTCTTGGCATCATTGAACAATATTTAATAACATTAGTTTGTCAAGCACAGGAAGCTAATTTAGTGCATATTTTACTGAAATTACTCACGAAAAATACACTGGAATTATTACAACTTTTTACAGTGCTTTTATTTGGGGGGGGGGCGAAATATTGAAATTCACAAAAGCCTATAATATTCTAGCTACCTCGAAATAGACTTTTTCACAGATTATTTCCTTTCTTAAAAATTTATTAGTTTGCATTCTTACCCAACTAATGAGTGATAATTAGAGTACCTTTTCGATAAGTTGAATGCTATCACATGTTTTTTAAAGGCAAAGTTTTCAAATAAAATTGTTTTAAGATAAAAAAAAGCGATGAGATAAAAAACATTTATCATAAGAAAGATGTTAAGTTGAGAACTTAAAGTAATCAAAAGTGTATTAGAATCTTTGCATTACTTAATAATTTGCAATAAAATTGCAATTTACATAAGCCTGTAATTTTCTTACAAGTATTTCGAAATAGACAAAAAATGTTTTATGCATTATTTCCTACCATTAAAATTTATTAGTGTATAACATTTCTACTCAATCGACGAGTGACAATTAGAGCACCTTTTTCCTAAGTTGAATGCATTCGCCTGTTTCTTAAAGACGATTTTTTACAGTTAACAAGGATTTATGATAAGAAAATAAGATAAGATAAAAAAAATTTATGTAAATATCATAACAAAGATAAACTGTTGAAAGATAAGATAAAAAAAATGTAAATACATAACAAAGATAAACCGTTGAAAGATAAGATAAAAAAAAATGTCAATATCATAACAAAGATGAACCATTAAAAGATAAGATTAAAAAAATATGTAAATATCATAACAAAGACAAACCGTTGACAGCTTAAGGTAATCAAAAATAGGTTTGCATCTTTGCTTTATTTAATAACTTGTAAGAAAATTAATTTAATGCTTTACCTATGCAGCTGTAACCGTTAACGGATAATGTGAATCCTTCTTTACACGCGCATTCAAAGGTGCCATCGTGAAGGTCAAAACACAGGTGCTGACATGGGCTATCTTCTCGACACTCCCCTATTACAAATGAAATAAAAAATAGATCATTAGAGTATGAAAATAATAACGAATTTTTAAATACAGTTATAGTCAAAAGCATTATATGGAGGTAGTATTAAATAATTTGTAAATCTGTAATTCAAACATTCAACACACTCACTCTGTAACATTTAAGTCACGTTTTATGAACCATAGAATAAGCTTTAAAATGTTGCTTCATCAACGTAGTTATAATCAAAGAACAAGCCTCAAAAAACGCTTGTCGCATTAAATTTTTTCAAATATTTTTTATATACACTGTTATATACACTGTATATTATTTATATACACTATTATATACACTGTATATTATTTATATACACTGTTATATACACTGTATATTTTTTATATACACAGTTTCTCGATAAAAATAGTTAAATTACAATTTATTTACTTGATATTTTATCATATTAAACCAAAGCAGTCAAATAACCATAAAAAGATAATATCCAAACTGTTAAGTGTGAAAAAAATGTTTCTTTGATTGTTTTTACCTAATACGGTTTAAAAACCAGAATTCTATTCACGTCAACTCCCACCTCATGAAGCAATTTTGTTTCTTTCAGCTGAGTACATACTTTAACTGAGAGGGCTAATCGATCCATCTCATAACCGGCCAAACAAGGGCTCGAACCACAGCTTTGATACCACAATATTTCTTCAATACATGAAGAATTGAGTCCTGCACTCAGCAATTGGTGACCCTTATTAGAATACGAAACTATTAGAATTCGAAACTATCATTCACGCATAAATGAAATGGCACCCAAAGAGCTACAATGACCGTTTAAGTTTTATTTTTACAATTTTGAAACTATGCTAGTTGTAAATGGTTACAAAATCGTATAGTTTTGAATTCATGTTTTTTTTAACCATACAAATTGTAAACAGTTTCAAAAGCGTAAAGGTAAGGAGATGTTCCTAACGATAAACTTTGTGGTTAAACCGATGGACAGACTGCTGCTAGTTATTTTACCATAATTTCTGAACGAAAATTCTAGGCTTCTCTTAATTTATTTACCCTTGTCTTTTTCAGTACTCTACCTTTTATACTTAAAATATATTAGGAGCTCAGCTCTCTGCTCCCCCTCACTCGAAGAACCTCAGAATCACTTTCCTAGTTCTTTTCAGTTAGCTTAGCTCTCTCATTTTACTTTAGTCTAGTTTAATACCCAAAATTTATACTTTAATCTCTTATATACTTTATTTTAAATAAATTAGAGGCTATGCACTTGTTTATTATCACTTGGCAACCCCTAGAACTGCTTGTACTTTGTCCGATCATTTCATCTGCCTGATCTGCAGAGAAACTGATTACCGATTAAGCGGGAAACAATTTAAAGTATTAGAGTGGATTCATATTCATTCCTTGTAAGGCAAATTGAAATTTTTTAAATAAAAAACCCTTAATATTTAGTCATTAATATTCGATTGATTATGAGGTTATGAGGTTAGAGTGTTAGGTTTTAAATCACTAAAACCACATTCTTGTCAAATGAAAAAACTGACATTTTGGTAAGTGACTTCACAATCAATAGAAAGAAACACGAATTCTAAAGAGAATTTTCAAAATGTGTCAATATATGTTTACAGAAACACCGAGCCTCAAAATTAAAAAAAAAAAAAAACAGTTTTTGCTTAATGTGAGTAGTCTGTTTGACCATGTTATCTTATAGAAAACAGAAAAATATACAAACTTTTTTTTAAGCTTTCGGGGCAAATCATCGGAAAAAAGAAACCGAAAATCAAAAACTGGGCAATCTAATATTACCAAAACTAATTTGAAATTAAAATAAATTGTGAGATATTTTTTGACTTCAAAAAATCATTCAAATAAATCATTAAAATAAAAAAATAATGTAATCATTTGTAAAGATTTTCCATGATTCTGAGTAAGCAAAAGCAACTTTAAAGAATACTTCAAAAAAACTTCTACACATAAAATATTAAATAGAGAGAGAAAAAATGTTTCCCTGCATTAATTTTAAATTTAAATCAAACTGCTAAAAATGTTAAATCATCATTTCCATTCCAACAATTCTTGTTTAATTCTAATAATAAGGAAAGATCAACTCTCTCTCCAAAATATAATTGAAGTGAATCTTTCGCTTAAGTTCCTGCCAAGAGGGTTAAAATGCAGAAAGTACTTAGTTTTGCACTAATCTTTTGTTCGATGCAAATTCCGACGTAAAACTGGCATACCATTATTTATTTAACGAATTGAAGTAAACTTGATGATACAATTGTTGAGGTTCCTTGTCTCCAGAAAAGTGCTGACTACATAAGATGATGATCTTTTCCTTCGTTTAAATGTAAGTTGGTTTTGTTAGCTGGAAGCGCAAAATCTTAGAAACGTTATTTGACTAGAGCTCACAAAGCAAATTTCCATGTTTCCACTATTTCAATCATTAAAATGATGTAGCATAGTAAGGATAAATCTAGGGGTACTAGTAAGGGAAATATATATATATATANTCTTTATATATATATATAACAAAAATGCTAAAAAAACAAAGTTGTTTTAGAAATTCTTTAAGAGAAGTTTCGATACTTTTAATTTAAATAAATTTTAGTTAAAAAACTAGAAAACAAAATGATAAAAAATGTAATCTGAGCTCCAGCTCATACGATTATACCTACAAATTAGAATTCTTTCTAATATTGCATCAATATAGCAGAAACAGTGAAATGTTAGCAGATGTAGTATAAAGATCTTAACGCTGTTAGAAATTTCTCGGAAAAAATGGTTAAATAGCAATTTATTTAATTGTTATTCTACCATACTCAAACAAAACAGTCAAATAACCATGCATAAGATGGTATTCAAACTGTTAACTGTGAGAAAAACGGTTTATTAACTACTTTCACCTAGTACGGTGAAACCAGGGACTAATATAGGTATCTATGGGATAAACAACCGGATTTTTATCGCACCGATTAGGCCCATTTAACGAAGCCACTTAGTTCCTTCTGGCTGGGTACATATAGCCAAGAGGGCTAATCTGTCAATCTCATGAACGGGGATTGAGTCCCAGCGTTGACACGGTGATATTTTCTGTATTCACTTCAACGCATGAAGAGGTTTCAGTGTTGTCTGCAGTCCCCAGTTTGTGACCCTGAATTATTAGAATACGATACTTACATTCACACATAGATGGCAGTAGCATAAAGCTGCTTAGCACGAAAAAGTCTAGCATTTTCATGCTAGTTGTAAATAGATAAAAAAAACATATGGATTTTTGTATTTATGGTTTTTTAACCATACTAGTTGTAAACTGTTTCAGGGTAACTGTTAAGGGTAAAAATTGTTCTTTATCGTAAACTTGAACGTAACTTAATTAGATGAATGGACTGCTGCGAGTCATTTTACCGTAATTTTAGAATAAAAATTCTAATGTATGGTGACAGAAAGCATAAAAGAACGTACAGTGAGAAAAAAATATACACGAAACAACCAGAATATGGTAAAATCTATAGTGTTTCTGTCTCCAAGGGAACACCAAAAAGCTTGATAAATATTTACCGAAGAGCTTTGTTTACGAGAACACCAAGAAGGTTGGTAATTTTTGTACTCTGGTAATGATTTTGTAAAATTAACAATAATATATGGTTTAATAATATGTGATGAAATTTGGAAAAAGTGGTAAAATTTTATTAGTGTCATGATGATACCTTAGAGCATGGTATAGAAACCATTTATTCTGTTAAGTTTCTTTTAAAATTTGTAATTTTTACTGATTGCGTGATAATAAGGACTATAACTTTTATAATCAGAATTTCCTTTAAACTGTTACCATATGAATGGAAAAATTACCAAATGAGTAGTTTAAATACCATATATTTTAGTTTTTTTTAACCAGGATTATGGTTTCTTTTCCATCAGTAATATCATTACCATACAGTGCGATAATTTTACCAAAACTGTTTTCTTCGTGTGGGAACTTAATCGAAACACTTTTATTTTTTTAATGGAAATTCATATAAATCTTCTTAAGGAAAAGGTAAAGATATAGAACTCCTTTGTTTGCATCGAATTCCATCTTTCAATTTCTTTTATTTTTATTTTTCATTTTTTTATAGAACTCATAAAAAATGTTTCAATGCAGATAGGCCGCAGTTGTACAAGCAAACAACCGAACGCAAGTTCCGGCAATCGTGGATTAATCTCATACTTGGATTGAGCCATGCAGGATGAAAAGCGAAATGTTGAGTAAGGAATAATTTCCCTCTCTGAAAGTTGTGACTTTTTCCACCCCACTCAAATATAAGTTGTTTAAGTTGAATGAAAAAAATAAGTTTTTCATACGCATCAAATGTATAAGTGACCAAAATGTACGAAAAAATATCAGAAGTACACCCTAAATAAGATGTGTGTTTTCTGTTACAGTATTTAACGTAGTCTATTACATAGCTTAAATAACAATCTGTTAACTGTCTTTAATGACTTAATATAAAAGCTGGCAAAACATTACACCTCTACTTCTTTAAATTTATTATTAAGTAATGTTAAATTAAATATATTAATTGTCTTAATGAAGTTTAATAAATCAAAAAACGATGAAGCTACTTCTGATTTATGCCTAAAATAAAAATATTGATTTAGATGTGTTAATGTCAGTTTTCATACAGATTAATAATTAGTGTATTCATATGTTTTCATTAATATGTAATCCAAAAAAAATGTATGGGCTTTTATTTTGTTTTAAACAAACATGCCTGGCAAGGCATATAAAAATATTAAGACTTTTCAATCCCTAGAATATGCATTAAATGTACGCGCAAGACATTTTCCAGCAAACTCTTAATCATTAAAGCGCTTTTCACGTTTGGCTATCACGTAGCTTACAAGAATACTATCTTCAAAATATTTATTTATTGTGGAAAGTAACAATTACTGGCGATTACGTTTTGCTTTTGATATCTTAATTTATTCTCTCCGAAAATGTCCAATCATTGAAAAATGCTTCGCATGTTATATG